GGAACAAGCCCTCGTGGCCCTCTGCTGGATCCATGCCTGGTTTTGTAAGTAGATGTTGAATGTTGATGGTCGGTCATAGTAGTGTTCTTGCATCAAATGACAGATTATTTTAGGAAATTATTTGTTTATTTTAATACTTGGTTTTTCATAATAATTTCAATATAATATAATGTTTTCAATGTTAACCAGATTAATCATTTCATTACAGGCCACTGCATCAGCATCACAATTGCCAATAGAAGGTATGATGAAAGTAAACAGATGAGATACCATTTAATAAAGCCTCATGCTGAAGCTTAATGTATTGAGCATTGTTAAATCATTTATTTCAAAATCACTGACTGTTAGTTTTAGAATGCGTTACATTGATATTATAATTTTATTAACTCCGCAAGTGATATCTTTTCATTAATAATGTCCTATATACATATCTATATGGTTTCTGTCAGAACCACTCTACGTGCTATTCTTGACCTTGTGAATAATATCACCTCGTCTTTTGAACAAAAATTGTTTTTACTTTCCGTTTTTATCGATTTATCTAAGGCTTTTGACGTTAATTTACCATAAAAATTTAATTTTAATTATTTAATTATGGCATCAGAGGCATTACTTTAAATTGGTTTACAAGTGAATTGTGGGGGGGGGGGGGGGGGGGTGGAGTGAGTGTCATTTAAAATTCTAACATTCCAGACATAAATATCTCAAAACCAAATCAACGGGCCTGAATGAAATTTTCTACTGTAGAATGGTTAGTTATGTTCCAAGAGAGAAATAATTGAAGGGAATTTCCTAGACCTAAAAAAATAATATATAATTGCATTTCAAAAGATTCGGAATGATTCATCATATCATGGCCAAGGTAAAAAGTGTGCCATTTTGGGGGCGATCTGAAGCAGGGTGTTGATATGAGGACCATTTATAGGGAACTTTCAGACATGTCCAAAAGGGGGGGGGGGTCAAAAGTTTGGCCGACGAGACAACACCATCCTAGGTGGTCCGGGGAGCATGCCCATTTGAAGTTTTTGTCTTCTAGATGCTCTGAAAATAACATTTGAGGCATTCTGAGCTGTCATTTTTTTCTTTTTCTTTCTTTTTTTTCTTCTTTTTTCTTTTTTTTTACCACCTAAAAGAGGAGGGGCCGGGGTAAATCCGCCCCAGGGGATGGTGATATTGATGTTAATAGTACCGAGGAATCTAGTATTGGTGATGACAACATCTGTTGAACTTACACAATGCCTTCCTTTTTTTTTATATTTCATAAAAAATAATTTTAGGCTTTCCTTTATAGTTACTACACAGCCACAAAGGATAGATGAAAATGTGATTGAAAAGAATGCTGATTGGTCATTTTCTTGCTTGGAAGTCAATGCAAGACCCCCCGCAACGATTAAGGCCCGGCTTAGAAAAGTTAAACACGGTGGCGTGCCAGGCCTAGTTTAGGGAACTTTCAGACATGTCCAAAAGGGGGGGGGGGTCAAAAGTTGGGCCGACGAGACAACACCATCCTAGGTGGTCCGGGGAGCATGCCCATTTGAAGTTTTTGTCTTCTAGATGCCCTGAAAATAACATTTAAGGCATCTGAGCTGTCATTTTTTTCTTTTTCTTTCTTTTTTTTCTTCTTTTTTCTTTTTTTTTACCACCTAAAAGAGGAGGGGCCGGGGTAAATCCACCCCAGGGGATGGTGATATTGATGTTAATAGTACCGAGGAATCTAGTATTGGTGATGACAACATCTGTTGAACTTACAGAATGCCTTCCTTTTTTTTTATATTTCATAAAAAATAATTTTAGGCTTTCCTTTATAGTTACTACACAGCCACAAAGGATAGATGAAAATGTGATTGAAAAGATAGTGCAAGTAATGAAAGGCAAATCTATAAAGGATAACTCATTACGGATATGGGACTTTGGAGGTCAACTTATCTACCATAGTATTCACAGGGTATGTTGTATAGTATAAGGGTAAAACGATGTAGGAGATAATCTTCACTTTGTTCACCCTTAGGTCAATGTAAGAAGTTTATGACTACGTTACGGAGACTATGCATTGTCAAATCAACAAAACTTTTTGAAATAATGTTATTCACATTATACAAGTAAATAGGCATGAATTTGTATAGTACAAGTACATTAGGCACTATATAGATATTTATTATTATTGTTATTTACTGTATGGTGCTTTGTTTCAATAACAAGCAGACCAAGTGTTGAATCGATGATGTATTGCGATAATAAAATTTTAATAATTTGAAAAAAATATTATAAATACAATTTAAAATGGTGTATTTTAAATTGTTCAATTATAAGTGTTATAGTGCAGTATGTTTAATGAGCGATTATAACATAACATATACTTACAGGCAACTGTTACATATGAATCATTTGATTATGATAATGACAACAATGATCATAACCAAACGATGGTATTCATGTGTAACATCATTTGATTATGATAATGAGGACATTATCATAATTAAATGATGGTATTCATCGTTGGATTATGATAATGACCTCATTATGTATAATAATGTTAGATTACTTTCATATTTGGATGTTGTCAAGTTCATGAATTCAGCTTAAAATCCATTTTCACAGACTATTCTTCTTGTGTAATTACTATTTTTTAATTTGTATCTTTCTAGTTGTACATGACACCTGAAAGTATCTTTGTGATTGTGTTTAACTTGCTTTATGAACTTGACGAATTGGCAAAAGTTTTAGATTCATCTGGAGTAAGCATTTTCTGAATTATATTGAATATTTTTAATGAATAATTAATAATAATACATTCACCATAGTCTACCTCAGGGGTTCTCTACCTTTAATTTTTGTTAAGGAGAGGGTTCTGTTGATTATGAATATATTGTAATTAATCTAAGTGACAGCCATTTCAATTTTAATGCAAGTCGTTATACGAATGATTAATCATTAAAATGTATTGTGTACTGTATATAATTGAAAGAAGAACTCTGTTATAAAAAAATATATATAGTGCAGTAGTATGTGACTGCATAGACTTCCTTTCATGACCTTTCACCTCTACCACATCTCTTCAGATATCCTGAAGTAGTGCAGTTGTCCCTGGTAATTAATTTACTTGTTAATTTTCTTCTTTTTTTTTTTTTTTTGCAGAATGAACATGTATACTACATGACAAATCTAGAGTATTTATTGTACTGGATCCGATCAGCTTACACATACACAAAAGACAAAGTTTTTTATACTGATCCTCTGATAAACTTCCCAGTATTCATCATTGTTGGTACCCATTGCAAATCACTGAGTAAAATTGAGGTAAACAATATTATAGATATTTGTTTGAACATGTGTCTGAAGCTGGGCACTCATTGTGTCATACTACTGTCAGCCGACAAATCCTACTCTGATCCCTGCTAGCACTAGACGACTCGGCGCCGCCTTCTGATTGTCGGTCGCAGCCTGAGTAGATCCCAGACAATTCAACAAATGGACGCATATCTCGGGACATCAAAGGATATAACTCTAGCATCGACATTCTACATCGTCACAAAAACCATAGCAACCAAACCATAATTAATCATCAGCGTGTGACGCATTACCCACGCGCGTCAGCTGCCATGATAATCATGCTTCGTGCGGTGGTTGCAGCGGTTTAATGAATGTTTGCATTAACATTAGACTAAATTATATTCGTTATTTCAACATTAATTTTAGGGATGAGGTGGTGTCCGGTGGTTCATGAGACTCACTTCGCAGAAAAAATTAATAAATTTTCTGTATCTACTCAAATGCTCATTTTGTGCACTTTTGTGCACAACATTGTCAAAATGACAGTTTAATGTTATGTAAGAACATGAAATTTTATAAAGTTTAACTTTATATGTTGTTAGTCAATTTTCACAAATCAAATTGTAGTTTATAGAAGCACTTAAAAAGCTTGTGGTCAAAAGAAATCAGATGTAACAGACATTAATACGAAGTACACAAAATTATGAAATAGTAAGTAACACCTCAAAACGTATGGCACGCATAGACTAATAATTGACGGCTGTATTCGCAACTAGTATCGGATTGTCGATGCCCGATAAAGATCAAAGGACTGTACGTACGCGCTATGTTTGAGAGCGGAGATATGCGTCCTTTTGTTGAATTGCCTTGGTAGATCATCAATAAAAGGGGTCCATTACACGTGCGTCATGGTGAATTACATTCTCCATAGAATCATGTTGGCCGACGACCTACAGTGAGTGCCCGGCCTTTATTCAGTTATGTTGATCACTGAATCAGCCAGTCAGATGAAATTTTGCCAAAATAATGTGCATAGCAGCTGATTATATAAATAATTATTAGCTTTAAGTTGAAAGTTAAAGTGAGAAAATTTTTTTTTTCAACAATTAACATACCACTAAAGATTTTTTTTTTAAACCATTCCTTTGTTGTATGCAGAGACCCTTACATTGGCAATCATAAATAAATTAAGAAAAATGATCTAAATTTGATCAGTTTTGCACTATATATTACAGTAATAATATTTTGTGATAATTATATTGGTTCTTTTCGTAGGTTGAGGAGAAATTGGACAAAATTCGCAAAGCAATCGAAAAGCAAGTGTTCAAGACCCATGTCTATAAGGAATATTTTGCTGTCGAGAACAACCTCTTCTTCTTTTCAGATATGAATGTTCTTCAACTTAAGAAAGTTATTCTTGAAACGAAGGAGAAGATGAAGAGACCTATCCCACTCAAGTGGTTAGATTTGTTGATTGCGATTCAGAAATTAAGTGAAGAAAATGTTACTCTCCCTTTGGTGCAGGTATGTAATCCTAATGTCATGTTTTAGGTGTACAGTAGACACTCTTCCTTGGGACACCCTTATTCATCCACATCTAAAATGGTCACAAAAATTCAATTATCAGAGAAATTCAGCTTATTGGGTTTCAATTGTCAATAATTTTTAGTTGATTTGTCATCTGGGATATAAACATTTCAAGATTAACTGAGCACCACCCACAATTTGGTTGAAAATCTAAGATGGTCACCAAAATCTAAAATGGCAACCAGAATTAACTTAATCCTAAACATGTACCTTCGTAATTCCAATAGTTGACTTCATATCAAGATGGCCACCATAGTTTAACAATAGCCACCAAAATTACTTTTAATAACTATGCCGTTTCACATTACCAACAAAACGTATATGAAAACTATGTGGAAATGAAAATGATGGTGTCACTACTGACATAAAAATTCTAATGTAGGGTGTCACCACTAAAAATATTACTTAAAGCTAGAAATAGAATAATTCATTTCACTAATCTATATTTTATAATTTTATGAAGGTTAAATCAATGGCAAAGAGATGTGGAATTTTAGATGATAAAACGATTGATGTTGCAATCACATACTTAAGTGATGTTGGTGAAATCATGTATCACCCAACAGAGG